TTTTATCTTTCTGCGAATTTTTAAGCTAAAGCAAAAAAATCAATTGTAGGCATTATATTATTACTTTTTGTTTTGCAAAAGTAGAACTTGGCCTTCATTTAGTATGTTTAGAATGGAAGGTGTTGAGAGAGAGAGAGAGAGGGGGGGGGAGGGAGAACGCAAGTTAGAGTGAGAGAGAGGTGTGTGTGGGAGTAAGAGAGAGAGAGAGAGAGAGAGAGAGATATATTTGAGATGCAGTGTTTATATTTAACATCCAAAGAAAAATTGTATTAGATTCTAAATTATTTGTGTAGAAAAATGCAGAGTTAAAGAAAATGAGACTTCCATGTTAACCAATAACCCACTGACTTGGTTCTCAAATTGCCCAAAAGGGAAAGCAGCACTAAAAAAGAGTACCTACTTTTAGTATTTAATGACGAAATTGGACAAAATTTGCGAAAGTACAATAAGTAGTTTACCCAAAACTCTGGTAATTATTAAGCAAATAAATTAAGCAAATATTTAGCACTAAGAAAACCGTAAAATATGACAAAGCTAATGCAAATTTGACGAAAGAAAAGCAAATAAATAAAACATTAGACAAATCTGCGCACGCATAATTTGAATGTTAAGCGTTTTCTGTCATTTCGCGGGCGTTTAGAGAAGATTTAGCCATCCTCTCAATAAAAATGAATACAAATGAAATAAAGGAAATTTCTGCGAAAGTAAATATTCGTTTAAACATTTCGACGGTTTATTGGCCAAAAAACACGAAATGAAATCGAAAGGCAGCAAATGAAACTGAAACTTTGGGAGTGTAAATATTTGCCTTCATACAGTTACATATGCGCGCTGTTTTACACACATATATTTACGCGTTAAACAGCTGCCTGGAAGAAAGTGAAAAAGTGCAAATAAGCAAACAAAAAAAAAAAAAAAAAATGTGGCGAATGCTGTGCCCAGTGAACGCACCACGATGCCAAAATGGAATGCTTACGCTTTGTTGCGCAGAAATTTACGTAATAATGCAAATTGGTTGTGAATTCGCACTAAATTTAGTCACTCTAGCAAGAAAAAAAAAATAAATAAATAATAAAAAAATCCGTATCACAAAGTTGTTAAAGCGGTGATGTTTTATTTATTTATAAGGTAAGAGATAATCGAAAGTTTTGAGAAATTGTGGACTTCGTAAACAAATACACCTTTATGGAAACTTTTTTATTTATTTACATTTTTTCTGAGACACATTAGCATGTATATTTGTTTAATTACGCGACAAAACTGTGTCAGCAGGCATGACCAAAAATGAAAATTACAAAAAAAAAAAAAATTATTATTATTTTGTTCTCAAACATTTAATTTGCTTAACTGTGCCATTTTCAGAGCACACGCTACCGGCGCGTATATTATTGCTATTATTTTCACAAGAAGTATTTTTTACACAAATTTCTATGTGCGTATGTAAATGTATTTAACTGCCACTGTTCACACGCTTCACAGTTGCTTTGATTGCCAAGATCTTCTATCGTATTTTTTTTTTTGCAATTTTCTAAACGAGCGAAATTTATGCCAAGTAAATTCTCGCAAAGCCCCCCAAAAAAAGAATGAGTAAATATTCATTTGAATGTATTATTTTCTCTACTATATTGGTCAAGAGTACAATTAGTTGGCAATGAGTGAGTTTGTCTCAATTCTTTACCTAGATTCGCAACACTTTCTATTTGCTTAATATTCACTGTGTGTGTGAATTCATGTCAACACCAATTAATTTTGGCCACCTTTAGGCATGTCTCGTTTAAATCATTTCAATTGTCTCCTTTGTGGTTGAGGTATAGAGCCAACTGTTCAAATTTTTCCATCAAACTAATGAGCTGAGAAATTGGTGAAAGGAAAAAGAATTTAAAAAAAAATATTTTTGGCTTAAGTTTGTGCATTTCTTATTTCTAATAAAAATTATTTTCCTTTCAGAGAGTGAAAACTTTTACATTTCGATAATCTAAAAAATATTATTTAAGGAAACGCATCCTTGTAAACTTAAGGCAACATTCTCCTTTAGAATCCGAAAAAACGAGTTTTTCAGCTGTTTTTTTTTTTTGAAAGGGAAGGATATTATGTCGGCAAATGAAATTTTCAGACAATAATCTACTATATTTCAACTTAAAAAAACTATTTTGAGTATCACAAAAAATATTGGAATTTTCCAATATTATGATGGGTTTAAAGGAACGGAGACTGCAGCCGTGAAACGGTGTGCGTGATAGAAGTCATGAAATATACTTAAAAAATTATTTTCTAAATTTTATGTGCGCCTCTTATATATGAACTAAAAAAAAACGTAAGTGTCGGAAAATTAAATTTTTTTTTTTGTTTTTTTTATAAAAAAAGAATTTAATTGCTTGACAAAAAAAAAAAAAAAAAAAAAAAAAAAAAACTTTGGTCCAACTTTTTTAGTTCAAATAGAATATAATTTAATACTGAATTGAATACAGCCAGAATCGAGCGGACAAATATTCCCTTGAGGAGAAAACCAACTAGTATGCAAAAATTCCAGTTAAATACTAGTATGGAATTATACCAGTTGGTTATTCATAAAGGAGTCTGCCAGCATAGAAGTCCACCTTTGTTTGTTGTTGTTATATCGGCAAACCGCGGTTGAATTCCATTATCTGCTCTGTTCTATTAGTGGTTGGAGTTTATCGCTGTAGAAGTAGAAATTCAACATACCTAAATGAACTAGTATTAAACTAGTATGAAGCAGGTGCATATTAGGACAATTTTCAGATCTTAGGACATCGCTGTGTTAAAAATATCAGTTGCTTTCATGGAATATAGATGAAGATGAACTATTTGTTGTAAAACTGTAAGCTAGTTGAATTCTAGTTGACGACTAGTATTTTCCCCTGCAGGGTTCTTTTTGCTATCACCGGCACCGTTTACTTGTAAAAATGAAAACTCGAGAAAACGCGCTTGAAAGTCTACCCGATCATTCGTACCTGCTCGACGCTCTTAGTGGCCGACTCTTCTAGCTTCTAAGATACGTTGAATTGTTACTGAAATTTCGAAGGTGTATTCATGAATAGTTTTAGAACAGATTGGAGAAAAAACGCTGAAGCGGACAACTACCTTAACACTATGTAGCTAGAGCTGGGGGGGGGGTCTAATATTCTCTTTCCTATAGTATAGTGTGTCATGAGTTTCCCAGCAGATTGAATAGGTTATAGTCAGGGGCGTTCGACTATATTCAAACGTAGCCATCCTAATACCTATTTAAATCTTTACCATTTTGCAGTATGAAGCTCTATTGTTGTCCTCCGCTTTCCATTTTTCCAACCATCAAAAGGCATCTGAAGAGTTGATGGTCACAGAAGCATATGTTTATATGAAATAGAACAACCCCACATCAGAAATCCATAGAGATCACTTTATAAATATGTTGACAGCGAAACTTTTGACCTCTGTAATTATTCCACTTTAATAATCACCTGACTCAATGTCCTTGGAAATTACTTTTACACCTGTTTATCCAACTCGTCTTTATAAGTTTTTCTTAATAATTGAGAAGCTACTAGCAACTGTACAGCGGTATGAGAGGAAACATAAGGGTTTAGTTGTGTTGACCTGTTCCCATAAGCGACATCAACTCTACTCAACTCAAGAACATGTTTGCTACAGGAGATCACTAAATTCATTTGGCCAGCAAACCTGAGCTGTATGAAAACTAAACTCTTCGTCGTCAATTGGAAGAGTAGGATGAGTATCTAACCACCAGTGACCGCATCGGAAGCATTTATTTGACTCATCATACTCTTAGAAAATATCGCTTTATTTTGCAAAATTGTTTTATTATTTTCCACCATGGATGGATTATATAACGTTATATTCTTTTAAAGCTCTAGGATCTTAAGTATTCTCCTAAGCTCCACTTTTCTATGCAGCATTTGAACGAGCTGAAATGTTAGAGGCAGTCTCTAGTGAAAGCTTTTCCAATGGTTTTAGCCCGAGTCAGCCTGCTTTCTCTTCTAAATTTATGTGACTTGGATCTATAGTAATATTTCACTCACATTTTTACCCTGTACCCATAGTTTCATAATAACTTTCCTATGGAGACTACTCCAAAAAGGATCTTGAGCTAGTCACAAAGAGCTCTAGTTTCGAATTCCAAAACAGTTTTAAAACATTACCCAACTGCAGGCGGACTCGTTGACTACACTGAAGGAGGTCCCATTAAGAGAGCTTCATAAATATGCTTTGGGCGTTCGTAGGAATTTCAAACTGTCAGCCACAATGGAAGTAAATGCCGTGCGTATGTATATAATATATTATATATGTATACAAAGTATTAAGTAAGAGATCAAACGTTTTTCGGTCATGCTCCTCCACCAATTTGTGTTGGCTTTGATGTTTTTTCAAAAAAAATTTAGCGGAAGCAGGCCTAAAACGAACTCCTAAAGGCTTATGAATTTTTATGAAGAACTTTGATTTTCATGTCGGAAATACACTCAGAGGGTGTAGAAGGGACAATCCTTTCCGAGAAGCGACCACAATTATATAAATTAATTTTCTATAATTTTTGATATTGGTCGTACTCAGGCCTCTCGCTATTTAGTAAATATTTTTATTTATTTATTATTATATAAGACTCTACAATTTCGTTTAGTGCTCTAGTTTCTTAATTTACTCTTACAAGTTACTATTATAAAATCAGTTATTAAATTAACAGCACACATATATATGTGAATATTCATGTGCAAATTTATTGTCTTATTCAACCACGAAATGTACCCTGCATGCCCTGTGACATAATTTATGGCATAACATGTTGACAAGAGATTAAAAACATAAACACTTTGCTTAGACACGCGTTCTGTCGCAAAAAAATGTAATTCCCATGGCTAACTTAAGTGCCGTTACAACAACATCAAATACATAATTATTCGTTTACTTTGTCGACGAGTGTCATCACGTACGCTGTGAAAATACCGGATTTGATAGGGAAGTAAAAAAGGCAACAACTACGCGAAATGACTGTGCAGATGCTATACACAAAATACAGTTGTCACTTACCGCGAGTTTGTTGCTTAAGTCTTTTGTCTTTTGTGTGGCAAAGAATGGGTGTTAGAAATTACTTTAAATTTGTTTAGACTAGCTAAGGCTAGTTTATAGTCACGGCACACTTACTCAATGCATATACGGAAATTTCCACTTCACTTTTCAAGTAAATATTATTACACGTTTTACGGTTTTCTTATTTTATTTGACTTTTATTTATTTATTTTTTTCATTTTTGTATTTAACTTATATTTTTTCATAATTTTATTTGCAGTCACGCACAAAATTTGCGCACAGCGCCACATTAGCGCTGCTCTTGACCACTACTTTGTTGCTGCACTGCACGCAGGTGGACGCCGCAAAGTTGTCAGCGAAGACCGCTACCAACACAAATGCGGATAGTAGAAATTCAACAAATAATGTGGAACTCATGCACGCCGCTGAGAAAACAACAGCGACAGCAACAGTTGTTGTAAGTCAAACTGATGCAATTGTCGAGTCAAAGGCAGCCAATGATGAAGATGCTTTGAAAGAAAGCGTAGAAAAAGTAGATGCAGCAGAGAAGGACGATGACAACGAAGACGATGATGAGAAAGAAACAGATTTGGATTTGGATGAAGATGTAGATGAAGATGATGATGAAGATTCAACGAAGAATGAAACATCTTTAACGGCAGCAGAGAAAAATGAAGATGCCACCTCAGCGTTCAGTGTCTGGGGCATTGTACGTAATGTGTGGCATTGGCTGAGAGATGATTTTAGTGAAAACCTATTTGGTGATGATGATGGCGATGCATCGGCGGGTGCACAAAAAGCGCTGGTGCGTGAGGTACGCGATGTGTCCGAGGCGGCGAAGGCGGCAGTAGGTGAGTGATTAAATCAATGAAAAATTAAAGGTGGTAAATGAAGGCAAATAAATCACTGCATGTTCGAGCTCAATATATGTCATGTTATAGGTCGTAAATATTTCAATTAATAAAACTAATATTTTAAAGCAGTAAAAAATGATGTAAAATTTCCATTTTAATGAATACAAAATTACACACCCAAATTATTTGATATTTTGGTTAAATACAAGTGTTGAAATAGTTAAATGTTTTTTGAGCTTTCATCACCAATTAAAGGTGTTAACTTAAGCGCCAATTTTCTCTAAAAAAAACCATTTTAATAATTTTCAATTTTCCCAAACTTCACATACTAGTGTTTATGTTTACTTAGTATTCATCAAAACTAATGAAGTATCTAAAAAAGCGCTAATGCTCATCTTAAATTGTTACATAACTACGCATACAAATCGATGCATTAGAAATGCCACAATTGTTTGCGGCTCTTTCTTACACCTCTTCGCACCACAATTAGTTGCAGCACTTAACCTCATACCACAAACCTTTAACATATGTATGCAAGCGCTTAAGCGCTTACTCGGTTCAACAAGTGCAAGTGCTTGCGTTTGGGCAGAGGAAGTGCTTGTGCACAATCGAAGTGCAACTCATCAAATCTTTTTTTGTGCGCAACTCTTAGATAATGGAATTAATTGCACTTTCACCTTCGAGTGTGTTGGAGCTTCCAGAAATTGTGAAATGACATAATTGATGCGGAAACTGATAGATATTATCACTTTAATTAGGTTCGAAATATTTGTTTTCTGTTTTTGTAATACAAAGTGCTTCACTGAGTTACGTCACCGAGTTCCGTCCCCGATTGGAAATACAATTATTCAGTTTTCTTATTATTGGCTTACCACTCAGAATATAAAATTTGCTAAAATGAAATTAATTGGAAGCTGAAATCAAACAAAATTATATGTCTCACAGAGAACGGGGCTTATTCAAAAGTTAAATAATTTTTTTATGTTGAAAAATAAGGAGCGATATCTTTTTATTCCACCATAATTATACCGCTTGATAGGTATAGTATCAGATTGGCCTATTCATCATTACAGCTACTCTCATTCTCATGAAAATATGGGTATACAGAAGTTTCGCCACATCTCGTTGCTTGATTGGGTGATACGATCTAAGCAAAGTTGATTGCCGGTATAAGCGCCCTTTTTTAAGCAAACGGTATTGAACTGAAAACCTGTTACTATTTTTGTACTGAATAACCCACCTTTCTGAAGGCCCATACTGTTACTAAATGCCATCTGACATGCCCCTTCCGGGTTTACTAGCATATTTTTTGCAATAGCTGAAGAGATGGCTTGTAATTGCTAACATCCTTTTGCCCCCTCACTGTGACTGTGGCCATGCTTGCAAAACGGCTTTACTGATACTCTCAAAAGATGCCTTGCCTTAGAGATTGAAATATGTATTAGGGTTTCCTCTTCTTAGCCACCACGACTGCGAGCTCCGTTTTGTGGTGGTTTTACATTTAATTTTGGAAACTGTCGCACTAATAGTTTGGTTGTTTCCAGCTACCAGCATCTGCAGCTAATGCGATGTAAATCTAGGAGGTCGCGGGTTCTTAGCTTGTGTATTTGATAAGCTTCATTTGCTTGTCTTGATTAGTTTGACGAACGTAGCTTGACTGCAAGCTTCAATTAAAGGATTGTAGTTTAACCATTCAGTTTTTAAAGTTTTAGGTGACATTTTTCCAATCATACTCCTATTTTCTGCTACCGTTACCCGAAGTCAATGCACGTATAGTTTACTTGGGAGGGATTTATGGGCTCCACAGTTTCAAAAAGTCGATTATCTATTACCTTTTTTTTAATTTCTACAACTTGTCAACTTAACTTATATTCTAAACTTTCATGTTCGTCCACATAAAACTGTCTTGACAAGATGTGCGCTCAAAACCAAGTGAATTCAAGACCAACATGCCATTTTTTAACCACGTAATATGGACTTCGTATAAGAACTTTCACTCAAAATAAGTTTTAATTACAGGCCTAGTGAAATTTCTTTCACATTTGTAGGAGCTTAAGGGTGCCTGACCTATTGAATGCACCACTTTCCTTCTTTTTTAAAAGCACTTACATTTACAGGTGTCTAAGTACAAACAAAAATATTTACGAAAGTACTTAAGTGTAAAGTATTTCCTGTACAAAAGATCACACAAAAGTTCATACAAAAGATTGCTGTACAAATGTCAGCTTCTTGGCATTTTAAAGTGAAGTAATTTGAACCTTTTGTACCAATTTTTTATTATTTTTATTATTTTCTTTACAAATTATTTTTGAAGTGAAGTGAAGATGCTTTTCAATTCAACTTTTTTTTACTTTCATAGAATAACAAAAAGGTTGTTAGCCGATTCTTTCAAACAAAGAAAGCAAGTCAAATATTTAAATGTAATTTAGCGTCTCCAGTTATTTCATAAATTACACTTATTTTAATATGGTACATTTAATGCAGAAATGATTGTGACGTGACCAATTATTTTTAAATTTTTCGTTTGGTCAAACCCATATATTTCACTTTTGAGATATTTTGCTTTAACAATTCGTTGTACGAGTCGGTATTGTTTTTTTATTTTTCATTTTTATTTTATTTACTTTTTAATAAGTTTTCTAGCATTTATTTTATTACATCTCTTGTTTTTATTTAATTGTGTTTTATTTAATTTAATTTATTTCATTCACTTTAATTTACAAGAATTTATTTTTTTATCTTTTTATTTTTCATTTTATCAATTTTTATTTAATTTTATTTTATTTTATTTTATTTTATTTTATTTTATTTTATTTTATTTTATTTTATTTTATTTGATTTTATTTTATTTTATTTTATTTTATTTTATTTGATTTTATTTTATTTTATTTTAATATTTTATTTCCGTTTTAGTAAATCAAAACACTTGAGTTGTGGAACTTCGTATAATTTTTATCGTGAGAAATAAAAGTTTGTTTTCCAATTTGTTTGTTTTCTGAAACTCTACAGTGATTCTGCCAAGCTCTGATTCATTCGCGAAAGCGTTTGGTAGCTTACGGTATTGACTTTCGATTGCGTGAGATATTTTCCTTGGCTTAACTTTTTTCTTGTTTTTATTTTTCTCATTTGCTTTCGCTGCAACGAGGCGATGCTTATCGCTTTTTAAACGTTTTTTTGTTTTCTACTTATTTGCGATATGACGCAGTGGCACCAAATCACGTTACCTAAATGCTTTTGCTATATGATTAAATATATATCAACAAAAAGATTAAAGAATAATTCATTATGCCAAAGGAAAAAATAATATTTATAATGATAACAAAAATTGAAAACAATAGTTTAGATAATAACAAACATCATATGCTTAATAAAATGGCATGGCTATGCTAAATGCCCGCAAATACTTTTGCTTCATATGAGTGACTTGTTGTGAGAACAATAGTTCACGTAAAATGAAATCAGTGATGAAAATATGATGTATTAGTAACAAAATACTTTCAAATATAAATGATTGGTTTATGATGAATAACAAATAAAGTGCACCTAATTATAGTTAATTGGTTTTCTATTCTTTTCAATAAGAATCTTATTGCATCTGGGCTTTTGCTCCATATATGTCTCATGAATTATTACGATGCGAATATTAAGCACATGATTCGTGTTACGTATAATGAAAATTATAGTGCTCACAAAATATCTTATCATAAATCATTGCATACAATTACAATACTTAGATCACTTCAATAGTGATCCCATGATGACCACATCAATATCACGCGATGAACATCACATCATATGATATCTAAATTCAAATTTTTAAAGTCATGTGATCTGACATCACATGTCGTTTACTCATGTGACAAATTTATTTATTTTAAGTACAAATATTGTATACAGATGTAATCAAAAACTTCACTATACTGTGGGAAGTTATACTCATATGAATATCTACTTTAAAATTTATTTAAATAACATAACCTGATATAGAACTATTACTAAAGAGCCAACCAAGCTTTGAACGACTTGTTACTGAATATTTAATAATTTTAAATATATTTAGTAAAATCTTATAATATGTATAACATGTTCCAAAATTTTTAATGTCACATACACTCCTCCCTCCTTTCAGAAAGTCGCACATTTGGAAAAATCCGCCGCCTACAAATGGCGATCATACCGCTAATCTTCAAATTCGGCGTACTCACCGCTATGGTCGCATTTCTCATAATGCTCGGCATGAAAACTTTATTCTTGGTGAAATTACTTGTGCTCATGAACGCCGCTGCCATATTGGCGAAATTCATTACATTGAAGGCAAACTTTGGCGGTCATGAACATTCCGCACCAACATGGAATTATCAAACTTGGACACCACATGCAACGGGCGGTTGGGCGGCCTCAGCCCCAGGCACCTCGTACTCGCACAGCAGTCATGAGCACCAGCCAACAAAGGAGATCCATCTGCACATACATGGCGGACAAGTGCATGGTTATGGTGGTGGTAGTCAAGGTGTTTTGAATGGCGGCGGCGGTCATGGGGGTTGGGAGAGTCGCAGTGATCCCTATGGTGCTTACGCGCCGACACTGGCGAGTGAAGCAGAGAACGAACTCGATAATTTGGGTCCAGTTGCTATGTTGCCAACAAGATATCCCCCAAATCCCAATCACAATTACCAGTAGAGGTGATGCGTTTTATGTCAATGTAGTCAATGAGTCAGGGTTTTCTCTCTAAATACATACCTTTATATTAGTATAAATTTTATTTATTTATTAGTAAACTACCTGCATGTTAATAGTAATGCTGCTGTTGTATATAGATTTTTAAGCTTATGGAATGCTAACTTGTAATAAAATAATTGTAAAGGAGGAAAATAGTTTTAAATAAAGTACAAATTGGTGTAATTAAAATATTTGGAAGTGATTTTGTCTCTGCATTTAAAAAAAATTAGAAAAGGTGGGTATGTGAAACCATAAAAATTTAATTCAAGGTAAGTGAAAGTAATATGAAAATAATAATCACATTAATTATTAATATTAAAGTCAAATCAAAGAGCCAAAATTGTTAAGGAAATATTAGGTGAAAAAATCTTTCTTTCGTTTTGAGGCACAAAAGTGTACAAAAAATATCTGAAAACAAAATCATTAAAGTTAAAATGTCAGTGAATATTTTTCATTATTTCAAAAGAAAAAATTTTAACAATGGTTTTCGCACAATACCGCATGATGTCTAAGCTATTTGCGAACAGAATGCGGAGGCACGCGCTTTGCAGCAAAACATGACTAACAATTTTCAATCAAGTTGTAAATAGACAATATAAATATGTTCGAACGAGAAAAAAAAGTAATTTTTCCATTTTTTCTGTTAATTTTTATAATAACCTTTTACCAACTGTATAACTCAACAACAAATTATTTTATCGCATGCCAACGTATTATGGATCTTTCCACTGTGATATGAAGAAATCTGCATGATTTGTTGCCATCAGCTTGATGGTGTGATAAACGCCTATTGTCCATATAATTCATGAGGCAAAAACATTATTTAAAGCATAATTCATATCTTTAATGAAATAAAATGCTGGCCTAGTAGTAGAACACTCGCCTGTTAAGTCAGGATGCGTTGGTTCGATCGCTGCCATAGGAGGTCTGCTGAGAAGATATGGTGATCTCCAAAACAGCAGGCACTTCTACCATTTTTCTTTGTTGCATAACAAAAAATATTCAATTCGCCCAAACAAACGAGGCTTCGTTAGCTTACTTAAGACTTATAACAAAAAGAAATAAGTTTTGGGGTTTTTTATGGAACAGTTTCATGCCATATATTTTTTGGAAATAGTGAAAAAATTACAATTATCAGACTTCTTTTTCCAGATTCGAACTTGGGATGCCCACAGCACGAGCCAATGGGTATTCCATTAAGCTACATTTTTGCCGCTTTTTCTTATTGTTGTTTTCCACTTTTACTTTTTACCACGATCAAGTGTTCAGATATTCTGTAGCTGTTAACTTGGCGCGATGAAGTTGTTTTTGTGAAGAATTTAACAACAAATATTTTAAGGCAATGCCCTTTTATTATTGGAAAATTTCATGCGCACGGCAAAGCTCTTCCGTAGTTCCTAGATGCTTTCTCAATTCATTGTTCTGCTTAATTGTTTTTTGGTTCTTTTATGGAACTGTTTCAGGTCATATATTTTTTTTTGGAAATAGTGAAGCTATAACTTCTACCGTCCAAAACTATTGTTGTAGTATTTCCATAAATATATTTGGTTTGAAACCGTTCCATGAAAAAAACCCAGAAATAAATTTTTGTTAAACATTTAGGCTATGTATTATATAGGATTTTTTAGTTTTCGAGTGCAATGAGAAATAAATCTATGACTTTAGAAGTTCAAATCTGATCTTAATAGTACTATCGACAGCATGAGAGAAAAAGTCTGCGCTAGCTTGATAGTCCTTCACGCATTGAAATAACGACACTTAGATAGTTCAACGAAGTAAAACATAGAAATTTCAGCCTTGAAAGTTTTTCGATGGTGGTAGAGAAGTTTCTGGCTTTACTTTGTAGCTCCAATAAACGCCGAATACCTGAGAGAAAGGGCAACTGGAGTACTACTGTTGAGTCGGTTATAGACGAGGAAACGATAACCGAATGAATAAAGTTACCTACTGCCACCAGGAAGTCATAAAAATGACTCCTGGTCCACCCCACATACCAAAATTAAGGAAAAATAATTTAAATAAAAAATGTACTTTGCGTCCATCGGCAGGCTACTTCTAGTCATGAAATAAAAAGCTCTTCACCAAAATTCATCATCTTTTATTCTGACCGTCAGGCGAGCATTGTTTTTATTGCTCAGTAGCTTAACATTGCCCAAAAACCAGTATTGAACCACTTGAAAAGGTTGGATATAGAAGTTCGATGTAATGGGTGTCATTTCATTCATCACTGCTGAATTGAAATAAAAAAAATAAATGGCTCATTCATAGAAACTTCAAATGAAAACGGTCGTAGTCAGAGGGCAGTATTACGGCACAAGCAATTTGCTAGCCAGAATTGACTGCCCGGAAGGTTTTTTTTGTATACTTCGTGGCAATAGCAAGGAGTCATCTACCATGAGCCACTTTCTACAGTCAAACTCTTAACTCACTCCGATCTGTACTATCAGCAATTGAACAGTATGTAGGAAGCAAACGCCCAAAATCGGTCAACCAATAGTCCTACAGGAGGAGAAGAAGTTCCTTTAAGTCCAGATCTCGCACCAAGTGATTACGTTCTAGTTTTGTCTGTGGCAAATGATTCGCCTGACAAAGAATTGGCCTCAGGAGAAGTTTGTGAAAATCAATTGTCCCAATAATTTTCGCAAAGGGACAAGGATTTTAAACATAATGAAATTACTTTCCAACTGACGAAAGTTAGTTAGGAAAACTGTGGATGTGTGATATGAATCAGATGATTCGAATTATCGTAAATAAACCTTTCAAATTAATGCAAAAATAATGGTTTACTTTTTATTAAACCTAATATATCCATTTGAAAAAATCTTGCTTGTACAACTTTACAATATAATAAATTCGATTTGCTTGAAATTTGGAACACGCAACACTCTTTGCCTATGATTCTACCTGTGAGCAAAGAAATTTTCATTTCATCAACAATCTTTCCGATATAATCATATTAAAGGTTCGATTCAGATTTTTTTTCATATGCTTTAAGATAATAAATTGAAATAAAATAAATATCTAAATATCTAAATCTAATCCTCAAATTCCATGTAAACTAAGTCGTGGGCCAGTTTTATTCATCAATGTATATATTACGCTCTAGCTTCTCATTTGAAATGAATAAAGGTATTGCGTTGAATTTTCTGCGCCGAAGCACATGCTTCGTGAACGCTGTCGCTACATTAATAAATCTGAGCTTAAATCAAATGTAGCTTACAGCTCAAGTAGCGCCTATAAGTATGCAACAAAGTAATTAGTTTGGAAAATTTATGCATGACTACCTCCACCTGGTCAAGTTCAAAGCCATTGCAAATCAACTCAGCATATAGCACAAGTGAAAAAAAGTGGAAGTCAATGGAAAAATAATCAATGCTTAATTAAAGTTTTGAGTTAACAAAAATCTACTTAAAAATATTTATAGTCGAATATTATAAAAATAAAAACTAAAAAGCATCAATGAAAAATAATCACTTAAAATTTGAAACTATATCAAAATTAAAAAAAAATTATTTGTGTTTAATCAAGTTAAAATAATAACTAAACAGTTTATCAAAAACTTTTCCTATATATATACACATGTAAACAATTAAAAATTCTTTAATTTTTAATTTTAATGGAAAACAAAAATATTAACTTTGCATAAAAGTTTTCAGCGACTTTCTTCAATTTAATATCCCTTGCATTTAATGCAGCATGAGAGCGTATAAAAATGATGAAGACACTAAAACAAACATTGATAAAAAATTTCATTGCGTTAATACGTACGTATTTAATTATATTTACCAATTCACTAGCTTTCGACGTCGTTATTAGCTATGCCTGTTTCATCGCAGCGAGTTCGTTGCTTAAGTCTTTCGTTTACGTGGTACTGCTGCACATTTAGCAATTAACACCCAATAATGGGCGTGTGTAAATAAATATTGCCATTACATAATGTATTAAATGTGCTTGTTTAAAGAAACTATTTATACATGCATACATACATGCAGATATACACAGTATCTACATATGAACGTTCATAAAGGCACTCAATTTTTATTAGTAAAAAACTAATGTTTCCAAATACAGAAATGCTGACACTACACACTTGAGTGCATATGCTGTGAGTTGTTGTCAATTAACACAATTATCTATATGGAAATTGGGAACTAGTGAAAAGGAAAGTTACGCGTTTAAAATACAACACATAAAAATTAAAAGTAGACAGTATTAAACGTGAGAAACTAATTTTTCTGCTTAAAGTAAATAAAAGCAATACAAGCCTGGTTGCTTTGCGTTATTATTATGTAATTTATAACTTCTATTGGTCAACAGTATAAGAAGTACGATATGTTATGAAGATCACTGAAATCGAAAGTTGAGACTTTCTCCAAAAATTAAGCGATACAGCTAAGACATTGAGTAAACTTCTAGCAAAGGACTTTTGTAAGCACAAAAAAATATTTGAATTAAAGATTGTCAAGAGAAATTAAAGCAAAAAGTTGAGTGAAAATTGTTCATTATTGTTCATTGGCTGGAATTGCTTTTTAAAAAAAGCATAGATAAAATCAAACAAAAAAGTTTATTAATGGCGTAATATAAGCTATAAATTATAATATAAAATAAATGAATAATTTTTTTATGATAACTTACTAGTCTAAAAACTTCTTCTTTTCTAAAAAAAAATTAACTTAAAAAAAACAATAATTATAACTATCAAATCAAAAAAGAGGCATAGATAATATATCACACAAACGTTTAATACTAGCATGAAATTTAAATTTTAAACTCCATTTTTTTTTTTAATTTTCTTCTTCTTCTTTTTTTTGGATATATTTAATGTAGTAGAAAATCTTGCTTTTCAAATTAAAGTCATAACATTTTTTGCCAATGTCAATAATTACATATATGAAAAGAAACATAGATAATAATATTTACAAATTATAATTACTACCGTAAAATTAAACTATATACCTCAAAAAATAATGTATATATCAAATTTATTTATGTTCGAATTTATAAAAGCAAAACTTTTAGTTTTAGAAACAAATCAATGTTATCTTAAATAATTGATACAAGTATACAGAATTTTTTAAATTATATTAACTTTTAATAAACATATTTGAAAAATCAACATGAAATTCGTTTTAACCAA